GCTAAGTCCGCTAACGTAACACGGGTCACCCAAATTCAGAGCACTACGGGGAACTGAGACTTCCCCGCCGATGAAGTATAACAATCGAACAATTTTATACGGATACAAAAGCTAAAGCTTAACAGGTTCCGTTGCATAGTCCCTGTGAAAGTTCAAATTATGAAAAAATTGTCAACAGAATTAGGTTTACACTGGTGGAATTACTGCAGCATACGTAGTACAAACTGTGAATCCAATGTAAGCCATGAGGGATAAGGACAGAGGAGATGTTGGTAACAAATCGTATCGTATTCTAATGAACACATAAGGGAGATGAAAATATTGGAAAGTTTTCTGGGGATTGACTGTACGCTTTTGTCTATCCCTGGGTAATGACTCATGTAAGATTCTGCAGCGAAATAAATGCACGGTCAATTCGGGCTTTGAACTCTGCCAGCTCGGGCGCACAGATGACAGGTTCCGGTGGGGTATTCTACGTTTTGCAAATGCGTACAGAAAAGAGTCTCCTAAACGACTGTACTGCACTGTCAGCTTAACATGGTGGCCTCTAAATTTTATATTGTGACTGAGCTCTAGCAAATGGCGGCACGTGTGGTTGGGATTTCTCAAAAGCTGGTATATCAAAACTTAGGTCCCCACGCAATCGCTGACACTGTACGCTGAAGAGCCCTAGCACTCGAAGCCTTCGCCCGTACGGCAAATTGTACAAACCTTTGACATTTTTGGTTGCCCGCCGTTGGGGTATCCCTAAAGCGGTGAGGTCTTTCCTCAGCCATGGCTGGCAGACCTGTATTGCGTACTGCGCATGTGGGCGTATGTATGAGCCGAGAAGCTGTGGAAAAATCGAAGGGTCGAATCGTCCGAATGCACGCTTCAGGAAGCCCACGTGTTCGATGCCCCTTCTTGACGCCGTTTCAGCCTGCTTCCAAGGTCGAACCGGATCAAAATTCCCAGATCCTTCTCACCAAAAGACGTTTGAAGCTCCTGGTTGCCGAGTTTCTAGGAGTGCACTAACTTGTACCGTAGGTGCAGCACCCTATATTTGCCCACATGGAATCGAAGTAGATTCTGGATTGAACACGCGTATACCCTATCCAAAGCAGATTGAAGTACGGTGATATCATCTGGTGTATTGATCGCCCTCTACACCTTGATGTCATCAGCATAAAGCAGGCAGTACGCGCTTATATGGCGTGTGATATCCTTAATATACGTCAAAAATAATTGCGGTCCTAGTACCGATACCTTCGGTAATCTGCATTCAACTTGAATTGGATCTGACAGGGATTCACGCACTCTTACTTCCAAGCGCCGGTGTAGAAGAAGGCTTCCGATCCACCTTAAGAGAGGATAATCAGTACCAATGGTCTAGAGTTTATAGAGCAGAATATCATGGTCTATCCGGTTAAACCCCTTTGAGAAGTCGAGAAAATGCACATCAACTCCTTTGCCGGAGTCTACTGCTTCAGTCCATTTGGATCGTGCTAATAGTAGATTTGTAGTGCACGATCGATTTCGTCGGAAGCCATGCTTTTCCGTTGCGAGGTGGTTCCATTCTTCCAAGTAGGCCATTAGCGCACCAGAAATAAAAGCTTATATGACTTTGCAAGTACAGATAGTAGGATTACCGGACGGTAGTTGTTTGGATTGGAACGACTATCTCGCTTGAGAATAGAAGTAATCATCCCGTGTTTCCATATGTCGGTCACGTCAATTCCGTCAAAACACTGTTGGAAGAATCGAGCCAAAGGCTCAGCTCAACTCTCTCTTACCGCCGCTGGCGATTTCGTGTGTATATTATCAACTCTAGATGAGCTGTGCTTGCGCATACTCAACAACTTGTTTAGTACAGCTTCTGTCGTGAAGCATATGTGACTGAGTTTTAAGGGTGAGACAACCCCTGTCATAGGGCTAGGTGGCCAGTGATTGCATTGTAATGTTGCATCATAGTGAAGGCAGGGGGTACTCGCCGCTTGCTTCGGTGTCTGCGTGAGTCCGTCCTCTGCTTTTGAAGAGGAGTAGTTCCCTCTCTCCCTTTACGTATACTGTCGTGTTGATACAGAAGCTTGTGGTTTGAGGCCATACTCATTGCCAACTTCTGCTTATCCACTATACTATCTGCGAACAAGCTGCGTACAGTGCGTACGTTGGGTTTTCGAGGCAATCCAGGTTTCAGTGCCCGGAGTGAGTTTGTAGATATGACAGCCTGAATTTCGTAACGCTATACATTTTCGTGTCCCGCTTCGGAGACACGAAGCCCCAGAAACGATCGCCCCAGCAAGGGCGATAGGGTACGTCTATACTACCACAGTGACCTACAGTACAAACCGGTGGATGATCCGAAAACGCCGATCCTAGACACAACCTGGTGCCGTCTACGACTGAGACGCAACAACACTTGCCTTGTGGCAGTTGTTTATGGCCCCCCAAGGTCCACTCCATAGATGGACTTTAGCCTGACATTAACCATCGAGAGGGTCTTGCGTGCGTGATGCAGCTATGTACTCATCACAGGTGACTTCATTTTTCACAACCTGGAAGTTCCAGCATCCCCCAACGAGCAATTCAAGGCAGTCCTCTAAGATCATATTGCAAGCATTCTACTCTTCAACCAAATCAGTTCGCCCTCCCGAGCGGGAACTAAAAGCACCGCGTTTGGTTTTGTGCTCACGAACAACGACCTCATAATCCGTGATCTGATTTAATCCGCATGGGTAAACAGGCCCCATCGTTCTGTAACAGCAATCATTCATTCGGAGCAGAACACGAAAACAGCTGGTAGTAAGAGACGCAGTGTGACATGTGTACAGAGCGAACCTTAGCCTTAATAACTGGATCAACTATGTAGTACATCGTAATCTCTGTACCTCACTTGTCCGTGAAGATATATTCGTACACTAGCAGAGCCTAACGGAAAGGTTTCGTGCCAACAGCATGCTTTTGTGCAGACATGTGAACAGCCTTCGGAATATGTAGCGTGGTGTCCCCCTCTAATATCAACAGGTGGATGTGCTCAAATCGCCGATGATGCAACCAACGTTCTACGGCTACAATGTGCTCCAATTTTCCGATGTGCTAACAACATATCTAATATACCTGTCCCATTCTCTCAGACTCCCAAATTTACACACGTCATTAGTAGTTCAACGACTATATTGGCGAAGCTGCCGTTCTTGCGCACTCATAGTTCCCCCGATGTTGACAACATTCCCCCGAAAGCACTGCAGGTGGCAGCTACGAGGGCAGCTGAGACATTAACCCGATTCTCTCAAATGTGCCTGGAACTACAGCATGTTCCTAACGTTTGGCATCGGGATTCATTGCCCCGATTTTCAAGGTGGTAGCCCAGTGATTCTCCTCTTGGTGCTATCAAAGGTGATGGAATCGATCGTTGCTGAGGCACTAATCGGCTATTTGTAAAGATCTAACATCATAACGCCGGAGCAACACGGATTCACTCTGCATTGGTCATGTACTACCAACCTACTGATTGCATGTAGCAGTTAGACGGAAACAGTGAATAGTGGGACCGGCACTGATGTCATCTTCATCGACTTGTCTCAAGTGTTTATCTGCTTAGATCCTCGAATCCTTTTGCACAAGCTGCAAACATGAGCAGTTGGGAACCTTGTCCTTGGGTGGATAGGAAACTTCTTTCAGTAGCAGCTTCAGGTCCGGGGCTCATTTACTGATTCTATTGAGGTGAACTGCGGTGATCCTTAAGGATCATTGTTAGAGCCACGCTCATTCTTGGTCTACGTCAACGACCTTGTGCGTGTCATCGAGTTGAATCTGGTTTTTGCCGATGACATCAAGATATGGTGGGCGATCGGTCAGCGAGATCGCAATCTGCTTCAACAAAACTTAAACTATGCTTTTGAATTCTCAAAGACAAATCAACTTCCGTTCAATGCAAGTGCAAAACTGTACTTATACGATCTGGGTGTGTCCTATCAGAGTGAGCGGATGAGTCAACAGAGCGATCTAAACAACCAATGGGAGACGGATATAACGGATTCGATCGCTCGACGCGGATTGGCCGACGTTCGTCTTGATTACTGACTGCCGGTTTACCGAAGTCAAGGAACCTCGTCGGCTCATACGGATCGTTGGATGTGGGTGTGAACGGTCAATGTATATTGAAGAGTTTGGCCTAACAAACGTACTGCAATTTTCGCTCAGTTGATTTTGTCGACTAAACACTTGTCCCTGAAGGGCTATTTGCACTTAACAGTATAACCAGTGGGGTAAAATACATCAGTTTTAAACCCCATAATTAAATCACGGGGAACGTAGATGATTACCAGGACGGGTTGTGATTTGCATACTGCCTAGGGATTCTTAAGTGCTTAGGCGAGCACTGCAAAGTTGTTAAGGTGTTTCGTCATACTCATCTCAGTAAATATGTGTGTGTCAAAAAGCAATTAGTTGTCAACCTGCGGTTGCCGTGGATCTAGTCCCAACAACAATGACCACAACCATAAATTTGATTGGCTTGACTGTGCCCTGTAAGACATATAAAAGGATTTCTCTGTTATTGTATTGGTACTGATGTGATAATACGAAATGCTAGCATCTGCCAATATTCGTCTTCTCATTTCGTTGTTCAAACTAATGAAGGGGACTAACTGTTTTGAATACATTAGTGTCTATCTGCCAGACGTTGAAAGCTGTTAACTGCAATTTGATGTAGATGATACATGATCTGGTCAGAGGACGAGAACGATGGCACGATATTCCCGCATTCGTCCATAAGCTCTTTGTCACACATGAAAAAATAGAAAATCTTACGGCTTGGGGGGCGTTCTAGATTGGAACAAAAGCTGAGTCCAATCACTGCATACTATTAGGCTACATGCTGAGTTAGTATCTAGTAAGCACAGCGTTCATGTGTGGGTATTACGGCATAGTATCTGAGATGTTTTACATCTCTACGTAACGCGTATAATGATGATGATGAGGACCTCAAAACCAAGTTAGCTCTTGCGTGTCTCACTTACCGCGTTTAGGACCTCCTCATCCGGTGGCAACTGCATCTTTCGACACATATCCTTAAGATTCTCCAGATCAATAAATCCAAGACGGTCTTTGTCATAACGCAGAAACATTTCATCGATTCGAGACTTGTCTGTGATGGCCATTTTCTTCAGCTGTGTCTTCACTTCGTTTTTCAGATCCAAGACGTCACCATCCCTGTCAGTGATACAAACAGTTTGCTTTAATTTACTGTCTTACTGAGTATTTAATAGTGAAACTCGGGATAATGTAGACGAATGGTTGACACGGCAAATGGTGGATAAGTTAGTTTCGATTTACATCGTGATCTGGATAATACCGTGCCCACTAAGCGGAAAGGATAGTGATACTTCCGTTCATTTGTGGTATGGTGGTGAAATTCTTCCACAGTGTATCTAAACTATGCATCCTGCCTGCATGCGACTGTTTGAACAGATCGGCATACATTCTCGCCATCCTGGACTTGGAATTACACTCAATTTTGCCTACGTTTCCATGGGTTTTAGTAGGATCTCCATAGTTTGTCTAGTATATAGATATCGATGTAGCCATAGGTAGACACTTTATACCACAAACAGTCTAAATAACCTACCTTGGGCTTACTTTTGTGGCTTTTAACTACGGGCAGAGTTGTTGGCATCAGATCAACTTATGTGTCTTACTATGTAGATGACCTGACCACTACACGCCTACATGATAGTGAAATTGGGGAACCTCAGATGAACACAATCAATCAATACAGTAAATGGAGGGCAAGTGAATTTTGATTCATATCCCTATTTGTAAAGCACCGTGCTCGGTAGGCAAAAAGAGCACTTTTAATTAAGGAGAAGATGTTATTGGCTGCATCCAACTAATTCCAATGATGCGACTACCAGTAACAGTTAGATGCCCTTTGGCCTAATGCAATGTCGGCCGTCTTCAGTTGGCGGTTGAACTGTTCGATGAGTTTCGCAATTTTGTTTCAAACGTTTCATCACCAATCGTGGTGACATCATCAGTGCGTAGTTTAGTAGCGTACAGTAGCGTAGAGGAGTCTCCGTGAGAGTGATGTCACCTCGATTGGTGACGAAACGTTTGCAACAAAATTTCGAAGCTCAACAGACAATTCAACCGCCATCTCAACAACCTGAGCTACCGGTCTTCAATTTTATGTCTTCATTTGCTCGGTTGTGCTTTGAACTATTGTCAATTTCGCCGAGCTCAAAGCAATTATATCATTCGTTCCTAATTGTGGCTCTGCTGGAGATCAGTATACTTCAGCGCCGGCTGTTACGCGACTGACATCTTCTTACGGACGGTCCGGTTAAACCTTCCCTGTTCTTTTGTCTTGCCCAGTGAACATGGTATCCAGTATGAACCGAGCAACGTTGTAGTTATCAAATTTAGAAGATTTTCGTGGTATATATGAGTGGCTGCATGAAAGACACTATCGAAACTAAGATCTCGTCATGTTAATTACTTGGGGATAATTACCATATTTAACATGTCTACTAAAATGTTCGATACATACTAAAAATAACGAAGAAGCCTCCGTTAAAAGGGTCAACAGCCGGGAACAAAGATAGACAGCATTCGCTCTTTCATATCACTGTTTTCGAGAGCGCACTTGCACCCACAATGCAATCCGATGTAATCTCTACCATTGACACGCACAATTATGCTCACTAAAGCTGAACAGACACACAGTTAGGTATAAACGGAGTAAAATAAAGAGAAATTTGACTCAAATATTCCAAAACCTCTAGAAGAACGCTCGTTGATAGCTATCATTCACATCAGTATGCCAAGAGCTATTTGTAATAATTTGTCATTTTATGCCATTGACTCGACGTCGTACAACCCAACGCTCCTTATCTGACTAGTTCTGCACCAAAACCGACGACTGACCTGGTGCACCTACCTCCATTCCGATCACATTCCTGTCCGACTAACCTCTCCCCAGTTTCAGTTCGTGTCGGTGACCTAGAACAATCCATCCAGTCGACCATAGTCCAAACAGTGTTCGTAAAATATATTATTTTAGCTGATATTACGTCACTATCTTTAGTGTCGGAAAACTTGGGCACATGTTCTAGACACTGCCACAAAGCCACAGCTCATGATATATGGCACTGCAGATAAAGGATTGCAATTAGAGACTCTCTGAGACACTATCCAGGCGTGGAACTGTTTTTTAGGTAATACTGCAGTCCTCAAACCTATAAAAGAGGTATGGATAACAAAATGCATCACCAAAACAGATAAATAAGCCATCGTAGGTAATTGGAGTGCTCTATTATTGTCATTAGGTAACGGAATTCTTGGTGGTATGTGAAGTAAACACCGGTTGAGATATCTCTACGCATGAATCGTAGCTGCCGAATAGGTGTGTTCAGAGCATCCTGTCATTAAATGTGGCGGTAGAGCCTATGCTTTTGGTTGCTAGATCCTGACATATGGTCTACCAACTTGTACTAATGTTCGGCCACGGGATCATGTCCTGGACGCCTTCTCATGGGGACCGCTGGGTGGGAGTTTGGTTACGCCCTTATTCTAGATACAAGCCAGTACACACCAATCCACATAAGTCAGTGAACTGACCATATGCTAGACCCGCTGGCTTTCGGGTGCACATTTAATCGTAGCCTTTGGCTGTGGACTCGAGTTATTCTCCTGTCAGGTGTGGGCGTCCTGCCAGTATCATATACCAAACCCCATCTTATTCGGAGGTTAGGAACTGGTCGATGGCTCACTTCCTGTAAAACCTAGCTATGGGAGACAACAGGTCTACGGGTTATAAGCTCACAGCTCGATTGGCTCAGAGCACGAGCGCCACACATTTTCTCTGGCAATGAGAGGGCACCTCCGGTTGCTCAATGGCTTGCTACTGCATGCCTCCAGCCAGGCAGCCCCTGGTCAAATTAGTGCAAACCCACCAAAACTAACCTGCGTCTGACCGTGGTCGCAGCTGCGTATCAGACTATGGTCGCAAAACACAGGTGAATTGCTCCAGATCTTCACGGACTGTGTGTGACTGACCTCAAGCAGATCCAAATGGGTCTCTGCAATCACACTCCCGAGCTGGATCTGCTCCCCACTACCTTGTAGGTCAGACTATTGAGCCAAAGGCTCCGGGCAGTCCATCAAGCAAACCTCCAGATCATCCACTGCCTTGTAGGTCAGGCTATTGAGCCAAAGGCTCAGGGCGGAGTCGCTCAAGCAAACCTCCGAAACACAACCGCCACCTCGCGTGCGATTGCCCACCAATGCAATCGTATGCCTGTGCGCAAAGCACCCAACATCGGGTGCTGGAACGTGCGTACACTACTGGACCGGAACTGGGGATTGCGCATCGAGCGACGCACTGCACTGGTCACGATGGAATTGACGCGCTACAACATCGATATTGCACCACTCAGCGAGACCCGGCTTGGTGAACAAGGTAAGTTGCATAAAGCTGGGGCCGGCTACACATTCTACTGGGTGGGCAACGCCGCCTCAGCACCACGTGAACATAGGGTCGGATTTACACTATCCGATTGTCTCCATGGCCAGCTGGTTGGTGAGCCGACTGGCATCAACGCACGACTGATGGCTGTTCGCCTGCGACTCGGAAGAGGTAAGTTTGCCACTTTATAATCACGTACGGCCCGACCATGTGTTATCCTGATGACACGCGTGATCAATCCTACACTCAGCTATTCTCCGCGATATGGTCACTTCCGAAGAGCGACCGACTATTTCTGCTGGGTGATTTCAACGCGCTCGTTTGGCGTGATGCCTCGGTGCGGACAGATGTTATCGGTTCGCATGGCATTCGTTCAGTGAATGCGAACGGTGACAGGCTGTTCTCACTGTGTACCACTCATGGCCTGACGATCAGGAACACTGCGTACAAGTGATATAGAAAGTTAGACGCACCTACGGAGTGATCACGCCCACCTGATTGATATTGTCATCGTACGTCAGGGAGACATGCGTGAAGTGCGCATGACACGTGTACTGCGTGGAGCTGAGTGTGGCACTGCTCACAAATTGGTGCTCACCAAACTGTACATATATTTTCGTAAATCCATGTATTGCACTTCCGCCGTGAACCGGCAAAAATATAACCTACTTTCCCTAGGTACTGTGAATAAGAAGATGGAGCTGGAGAAGGCGATGACTGCATAGCCACAGTGGGTGACCTGTGGCACCACATTCGTGACCAGGTGACAGCTGCTGCCGAGGAGACCATCGGGCGCACAAACTGTAAGCCACGCGATTGGTTTGATGTGAACAATGTGACGATTGGTGCATTGGTGTGTGAGAAGAATGCAGCATTTGCTGCACATGTGGCAGACCCCAGTGACTTGGGGAAGAATAGTCAGTTTTGCAAACTTCGACGGCAACTGACCCGAAAGCTCCGTCGCATTAACAATGCATTGTGGACGGAGAAGGCGAGGCCGTTGGAATGCTACGCCGAACTCCGCCAACACATGAAATTCTTTGGATCCTTGAAGACGGTGTATAGACCGAGACTGGAGCCGCTGAGGACGCTGATCAATGGTAGTTCAGTCACTACCTGCACACAGACTGCAGAAATAATGCAGATCTGGCGTAATCACTTTGATTGCCTCTCGAACAACTGTTCAGAGATCGACTGGCCTATATTGGACAGCTTACATTGAACGGCGTAAAACAGCACGATGTGAAGGCGAGTCTGGTGGACACGCCGACACTTGATGAGACGCAGAGAGCACTTGCTCAGCTGCGAAACGGCAAATGTGCCGGGGCTGACGGGATGCCGCCTGAAGTTTTGAAACACGGCGGACCCACGTTAGTGACTGCCCTGCACCACTTTGTGCCACACGTAGGGATTGATGAGGAAGTGTCGGCCGAGCTGGAGGATGCCTTGTGCTACCACTGTACACGGGTAAATGGAGCAAGCAATGTTACACGAATTATAGTGGCATCAACTTGCTGAGTTGTGTGGGCAAGGTGATTGCCCGAATCCTGCTCAACCGCCTCGTCAGTCAGGTTGTGATACCGAACGTGGCGGAAGAGCATTGTGGATTCCGTTCGGGTCGCAGCACTATAGATATGGTGTTTGCGGCTCGTCAGTTGCAGGAGAAGTGTAGAGAACGATATCAGCCGTTGTACTCTTTCTTTGTTGATTTTACCAAGGCATTTGATACGATGAACCGCGAGGCATT